CTCACCCTTATTTTCATTTTTGTTTAAATTTTATTCAAAATATTTATTCCTATGGTCGATAAAAATTTTAATATTTTACATTTTTATTTATTTTTTAAAAATACATTGTATTTATATTTGAAGTTTATTTGAAAAAAGATAAATAAAAGACTCGTTTATTTACATATTTACAACTGTATTAATCTATAACCTATCTTGGATACTATTATCTCTGGTTGTCTCTTAAACCAAATTATTTGGATAACCGAAACCGAACAGAAATTTTCTTTTAAAGGAAACCGAATCGAAAATCTTTTGGGGCTGTTTAAAATTGGCAATCTACATATTTCTTTACTTCTACCCATAGGGTAAATGGGTAGAAGTAAATGGGTAGAACGGTATTATACATTTACCATTCCTTTGTTAAAACAAATTTTACTTTTAGTATAAAATTTATTTGATTTTTGAATATATCAGAATGAATATTTGAAAACCAAAAATTCGATTTTCCCTTTCATATTTGGCTATTTTAAAAAGCATTTTGAAATCCTAAATCTTTTCCAGTTTGATTATAAAAATTTTAAATTCTATGAAAATATTTGGGTACTATGCGTACCTAAATAACGCCAACCCTGATGAGTATGATCTGAACGATTAATAAAGTCAAGAGATTTGGAGGATATCAGTGATTTGGAGGATATATGGGATATCGGGTATACGGAGGCCATATGTAGTTCATGCAGAATTAAGGGGCATATTGGGAATCTAGTGTGAAAAAAGTAGAAACTAGAAGCAAATTTTCTTATGAGTATTCAAAAATATGTTGTACGAAATCGTAAACAATATTTTTCCTTATCGAACACAAATAAATAATTGTGAAATAATAATATAATAACTTGTGATTCCACAGGGATCACTTATGGAGATAACTTATATTAAAAATGAAATAGCTGCATTCGCTTAATCAAATAAACAATTTGCAATTCTTTTAAATGTTTAATTATAATTGATATGGACGTCATAACCAGAATTTCAAGAAAAAAATATGTAAATAATTGAAACCACTAAAAAAATAAATGGAAATTAAATAGAATGCAAATGTCATAAAATATTATAATTTAAGGTAAAAAATATTTGTATTAAAATTAAATCTATTTTAATGCCTTTCGATATATCCTATTTTTGGTATTTGAATTTATATTTTAAAACTCTCCTCGTAATGCTTCTTTATGGTTTCTCGAATTGTTTATTAAGATAATAATCAAGTTTAGGGCTAAAACTTTCAGTGGAATATTCCATATTTGGTCTTATGTATGTATGTTTTGAATGCCTTTACATATGTTTCTATAGGTAATGTTTTAGGTAATATTCTTAGGATATTATTTAGCTTTATAAATGAGGAGTTAGTAATTTTTCTACATGTTGATCAAATTTTAGTTTGTTATCTATGTATATACCAAGGTTTCTTATACAGGGTGCGGCAAATTAGGCGTACGTTTTGTTTTGGCAATATCTTTCTTTAAACTTAACAAAAATTGATAATTATTTTTTTTATTTTATTCACAACTCTTTAAGAAACTTTTTGATACCAAAATCTTCTTTATATTTTATAATTTACCGTTGGATAATCTTTTCTCAAATTTCGAGCAAAATTTTTGGGAAAAAGTGGGCTCAAATTCAAAGCTATTAGCTTAATATGGAAAATATATATCATTCGAATCAGCTGCTCAATCCGCTTCGAATGACGTCAAAATTAGGCGCCAATCATGTAAATGAACCGAGATACGGCTACCTGAATAAAAAATTGAAATAATTTTGAAAAACAGAAATTTTTTGGATCAAATTTTCAAGAGTGAGATTATTAGCTATTTCGATGCGCCTGAAGAAGATAAGTCGATTGGTACTAAAATCAATGAGATTGAACAATTTTGAACAAAGTTATGGTTAATTAAATTTGGGCATAAAAATATTTTTTAACGCTCTTAAATGTTCTAACGCGATTATCTTTACTATCCGCGGACATAATTTTTCATTTTTGGTATCAAAAAGTTTCTTAGAGAGTAGTGAATAAAATAAAAAAATAATTATCAATTTTTGTTAAGTTTAAAGAAAGATATGTGTCGTTCCTTGACTTGTCTGTTCCTTGAGTTGGTATTCCTTGAGTTAGCCCCCACCCAACTTATGTAAAATCGAATTTTAGCCTATTGTTTTCTGCCTATTTAGAAGCATTGTTTATAGCTTCTATAGTTCTTTTCCGGATTCGGCAAAAATCATGCAAGATATAAATTGAAAAATTAACTTTTTCTTTCCCATTCGAGGAAGAAAGGAAGTATTGTATGCCGGCATTCGTTCCCGATAGTGACAAAACCTTTATAATTTTAATTATTTTTTCAGTAAAATTTTTTGAACTACATAACTTTTAATATCTAAACAAAAATAATTTCGATTCGGATTTGCATTGTTTCTAAATATTGAGGAACATTTGACTAAACACACAAACTTGTTTCCAAACAAAATATTTTTTAAATAAAAACATTTTTAAATAAACATTTTTAAAATTAAAAATTTTTTTGTTAAGGGGGAGAGAGAGGGGATATTTTTTGTAAATCGATTCTGTCAATTAGAGAGAGAGGAGGGAAGGCAATGAAGACAATGGAAAATTTTTTTAAATGCCTTTTAAAAATTGATTGGCTAGGATTTTTTGTCAATCAACGGGCAAGGGAAATGCCTAGTGAAATGCCATATATTGTATTTTTTTCTACACTCCACTACCACTCACTCAACAGGCAGCTATTGAAAAAAATTCCCCTGTAAAAGAAAATTTATTTTAAAAATTTTATTTGATTTTTATTTTAAACAATTAAACAAAGATGTCGAGATTCTTTTTTATTATTGCGATATTAATTGTTGTTTTGATTGAAATTGATGCGGTTCGTAAAAGGAAACATAAGGAAGTTGATTCCAATGACAATAAACCGCCTAAAAGGTCTAGGAAACAATCCAATCCACAACAGGCATGGACTGGCCATTTAGGTTTGCTAAAACTTAAGAATTAAATATTGAAAATCCGTCGAAGCTTCATGATAGCCCCGTGTATAAAACACAATAAAATATTGTTGGTAATAGGATGTTTGGATAAAAAAGTTATTTTGGAAAGCTTTTAAGATCTGTCTCACAAGGTCTATTATGTATAGGAATTTTGTAATTTTTTGGTACCATTTGATAGGGGACTCCCAAGCTCCTTTTGCGAAGTGATGTCCGTTTTTCTTCAAAATGACTTTGGGCCGAGTTTTTTTTGAAAATGTAAAAGACAGGAGTTGCTCGTTTACCCTGCAACTCCAGCTAAAAAAGTATTAAAAAGCTTATTTAAATTTTATAAAATTAAGGGCAAACAGGCCCAGGTGTAAGCATGTCAACAGCTAAAATGGTGAAGGTAAGTTTATTAAATCTAAATTCGGACCTCGTTTTTACATGCTGTAAAGGAACTATAAGACTAACTGAAATTTATACGTTTGTTCTACCTCTACATAAGTTTTGTCACTGAGAATTTACATACTTGTTCCATATCATTAATAATATTTATTTAATAAATAAAATTTTAAAAATCGTTAACGTAATGTGAAATTTAGCGAAATTTAGTAAAAACAAGTGATAAGAAACTGTGTACTTAACTACCGCCAGTTTTGACATTACGGAGTTCTTGACACTTGTTTTAATAATGTAAAGCATATAGCTATTAATTTCCTAAGGCTGAGCAGTAGGCGGCGTGGTGTAATGGCTAACACATCAGTCCGGTCTACTGAAGATGCTTGTTCGCTCCCAGCCGACGATTAGCCTTTTGCACTAGCTAAAAGAGAGAAATAGCTATAGCCCAGCTGCTTTACTATAAATTTAGCTAAATTTCGCATTATGCTCAGGTTATTGCCAGTTTTAATCATTTTATTGGCCGCTGAACGGAGCTGCCTAGGTTAACTTTATGACATAAAAATGGGGTCCAATTGTATATTAATTTAAAATATTATTTCGAATATAGTATAATAGTTTTCAATTTGAATAATTTAGACTGCCCCAGATGAGGCTAGAGAAGAAAAAGTGCAAAATGGTAAGTAAATGTTTATCGAGTTTAGAAGCCAATCCCAAAAGAAGTCCATGCACTATTAGAAGATTCTTATTGAAATTTCATATAATATTGGTTAAAAACCAAGGGTTTCTATTAAAATATTTACAGTATCTGTTTAAGCCTAAATAGAATTATGAAACGGAAAATAGGCCAATTTTGAATCTCTTTATTTAAAGAGAATATTTTTTAAATATTATCTTTAGTCGTAAGTTATTTCTTAATACAAGAGGTTTTATAAACATAAATTTCTTATTATGTTGACAACATTGAAGGTAACATAGGGACAATTCAGAGAACAAATCCATTATTGAATACTATAATGATATTGTTGTATCCATATATTTGATAATTTATTAATTATATTTAAAATATTATTTTCAAATATTTATTGCCCCAAAATATGTTGTAAATGTTTGTTATCTATTCCACATTTTAAATATTCAAAACATTCCCTCAAAACAAACATTTACTTTGATCTTAAAACTTCCTCTCATTTATTTTAAATAATTTATTTTCTTATCTATGTTTTACAACTTTCTCGTCTGACCTACTTCCGCCCATTTCCTTACCCTATAAATACTTATTTGTTTTTTCACATTTTCAAGCTCGTCTTGATCACACTTGCTCCCAAACCAAACCCCAACCTATTTAAATAAACTTGTATAATTATTTGTTGAGTATTGTTTGAGTTAGATTTATTAGTATTTGAGTAATATAAAGAAGATATTTAAACTTATTTATTTATTAAAAGAACCGGGACATAATATTGGTGCCACGAACCCGTTGCGAATTAAACGGAGATTAAATTTAAAAAAATTTTTAATTTGAATATTTGTTGAAGTGATTTAATTTGAGATATTTAGAAGAAGAAGATAAATATTTGAAAGTTTAAGAAGAAAAATTAGAAAAAGAAGTATTGTATTGAAAAAGAAGAGAAATTTTAGAAAAAAAGGTATTGTTGGAAAAAGTAAAAGAATTTAAAGAGAAAATTAAATAAAAAGAAGAGATTGGTCTGAAAAAAAAAAAGAAGTTAAAAAGAAGATATTTGATTGAAAAAAGTGATAGAAAGTAAAAGAGATTTGAAAAAAATATTGTTGAGTAAAATTTGAAGAAAAGAAGATAAAAATGTCAGGTTCAGATTTTTCAGCTGAGTTTTTCAGTGACGAAGAAAATAAGGCATTTGATAAGATTTTGAGACAACTTCGCTCCTTTGAGCGCTCCGTGGCTCAAAGTTTTCGCCACGTGGAAGAAAGATTAGACTTGATTGAGAAAAGTGCTAAAAAGAATATAGATGGCCTTACAGAGACTAAAGGCTCAATAACAAACTTACGTAAAAATATTACAGACTTTCAAAAGAGTTTTGAAGAGAAAATGGATAAAATTGTTAAATTAAGGAAAATAAGTAAAAATAAGAAATTTGAAAATTTTGATGAGGAAGAAGACAGTTATGAAGTCGGTTCGGATTTAACCATTCGTGAGGCGAATGAGACTGATAATAATTATATTAGACATAATAGAGAAGCTTATGTTACTGACCCATTTATAGGAAATGGAGTATTTATGGTGGGAACATTTGACGGAAATCCCACTGTATCCTTCACTAAGTGGATAGAGAAATTTAAGGACGTTTTATCTTTGATGATGGAGCCTACAGAAGCGCAAAAATTATTGCGTTTACGCTTTTGCTTGGCGGGTCAAGCACGGATGGCGTTTGATGAATTAAACCCCCAACCTAATACGTTGGCAGAGGCAATTACAGCTCTAAGAAGAAAATTTGAGAACGGCAATAGTAAAATAATTGCTCGTCAAAAATTATCAAATTGTAGACAAGCTCCAGGCGAATCAGTATTTGAATTCGCAAATCGTCTATCGGATACTGTACGCACAGCCCTCTCGGGTGAAGAGGAGGAAACTATTAAAAAACGTCTTTTAGATGAATTTTTGGATAGACTTTTACCGGATCTACAGTTCGAGGTCAAGGCCCAAAGGCCGCTTGAATTTAATAATGCCTATGAAATAGCTCAGAATTATGAACTGCTGCTTGCAGCAAGAAAAGCTAACTATAATAATATTTCGGTTGCTAGTTTGACAGAAAAAGTAGAGGTATCGACGTTCGAGAATAATAGAAGGAAAAAGATCATCTGCTTTAATTGCAAGAAAAGAGGTCACATTGCTAGGAACTGCTTTTTCCTTAGACCTGAATACAATCAGAGAAATTACAGACCCCAACAGTTTGGGAGTTTTGAACCCTGGCAGAATAGTCAAAATTACAGTAGACATTATAATAATTTTACCGAGAATAGACTTGGTAGACATGAAAATTATCAAAGAAATAATTGGTCAAATAATAGAAAAAGGAATTATAAAAACTACGATAGCTCAAGTAGCCTAAGTAGCCGCTCAAGTAATAGTGAGCGAGAAAATAATTCACCAGAGCAAGGATCGAATAATTACGATAATCGGTCGCCAAATCGAAGAATGAGATTTGAGAGAAATAGAAGTCCACGAATAGGAAGTGTGAGCCCATTTATGCTTGTAGTTCTCGCATTATTCTGTTTAATTGGCTCATCTTTTAGCACCCCTATGAGATGCTTTAATAACACACCCATTTCAACATGGAGATTAACAAACGATCCGATATGCCCTAAATTTATTTATGGAGAAGATAATATATTGGAAAATAAGACTTCTGCTTTTGAATATAAATGTGTAATTACTGATGTAAGTAAATGCAGAGGTTTTTTTGACAGCTATATACAGAGAGAGGAGACATTAAACCAATTTAGTATATTAGCCTTTAGCTGTATTGTAACAATTCTGTTCTTATTAAAATTTGTTTTAGCTTCGATTTTAGCAGGCCCAATAAATTATTTAAATATTGGAGATATATATAGTAGAATAAAGAGAATATATAGTAGAGTAAAGAATTATAGAAAGAAAAATAAAAGAATGAAACGTATGAGACTAATTAAGAACAAAATTGAATCAACTAAATGTGAGTTAAAAGAGAATAAAATTCCACTTTCTAAAAGATGGCCCTCTAAGAATAAAATTGAAAGAGGAGATATAAATAAAAATAGACAAAATAAAATTAAAATTTGCGTTACGGAGAATACCCAGTGTGACACAAATTCCAGAATATTAACTAAAATTAACGGAATTACAACTATATGTTTGCTAGACACTGGAGCACATACATCAATTATTAGTTATTCTAATGCCATGAGAATAGGTCTATTAAAAGACATTTCCGCTGCAAATTTTCCAGCAGTCTACGGAATTGGCAATAAATTAGTACCAACTCTTGGTCAAGCTACAGTCGAGTTAGAAATCGCTGAGTGCAAAATTCAAACAAATTTTGTAATTATTAAAGATACTGAGAAAAAGAATCAAACATATAGCGCCATTATTGGTAGAGAAACATTAAGTTGTTTACCCCTTATGTTAAATTTTACAAACTGGGAGCTTATAAAAATTCCGAATGAGTATAAATTAATTAATAGCAGAGAATTAGACAAAATATCAAGAAGGCTAGATGATCTAAAGACCAATAAGTTTGAAAAAGAGAATAGAATATGTAATTATTGCAAGAAAAAAGGACATATTGCCAGTATCTGTTTTTATCGTAAGCCGGATTATAATCCGAGAGAAAATCGCTTTCAAAATAAAGTTGAAAGAGAAAACGGAGCTTTTAAAGTAACGCATAATGACCAGCTACGGTTGAGAATTTCACAGCTCTAGCCCAGTCAGAAATGACTGAGATTCTAAAAATATAGTTTGTTAAAAAATATTTTTATTTAATCATCATTTATCAAATATTTTAAATTTTTTTTATTGTTATTCTTAACTATTTTAAATTCCCCCAAAATATTCAATTAATTTTGTTTTGTAATTTTCTTTGGAATTGTAATTATTATGTTTAATGATGAACTTGGAAAATTATGGATCTACGACAAAAAGAAGATAAACAACAAACAGCAAATCCCCAGATCGTAAAGAAGAATAATTTATAATTTAAAAAAAATTGAACTACGCATAGCTTCATCAAAATACTACCTCCTCCTTTTTAGGAGAGATCTTTAAAAAAAATACCCATCAACAAAATCATACAATATGCAATACGGTTAAAAATTTAAATCCCGCTCAACATTGCGGAGAAGGAAAATATAATAACCAAAAACCCCGCAATGGGAGAGGAAATAGGTAATTCACGCATCTTTTGCCTCTTCGGTCAACTCAACCGTTAGAGAGGCAAGAATTGGCTGATAACCGTTTTCGTTATAAGACCCATGTTAGTGGAGAACATGATTGATGGATAATGTAAACAACAAAAGAAAATATGGACATCAATTCTCTAAAGGGGAAAGGAGTGTTGGATACATGTCTCAACAATTAGGCGAATATTCTTCTAAAGGGGAAAGGAGTGTTGTATCCATATATTTGATAATTTATTAATTATATTTAAAATATTATTTTCAAATATTTATTGCCCCAAAATATGTTGTAAATGTTTGTTATCTATTCCACATTTTAAATATTCAAAACATTCCCTCAAAACAAACATTTACTTTGATCTTAAAACTTCCTCTCATTTATTTTAAATAATTTATTTTCTTATCTATGTTTTACAACTTTCTCGTCTGACCTACTTCCGCCCATTTCCTTACCCTATAAATACTTATTTGTTTTTTCACATTTTCAAGCTCGTCTTGATCACACTTGCTCCCAAACCAAACCCCAACCTATTTAAATAAACTTGTATAATTATTTGTTGAGTATTGTTTGAGTTAGATTTATTAGTATTTGAGTAATATAAAGAAGATATTTAAACTTATTTATTTATTAAAAGAACCGGGACATAATAGATATACATATAAAATTAAAATAAATAATAAAAAAATAAATTTTTTTTTGTATACAGACCAAGATGTTCGCATAAATGGAAAACAAAATGAAAATGAAATTCCTGATGATATAACGCTTAGTAAATGCTTCAAAGGAAGAAAACTCAACAAGACTAATTTTCTGAACAAAAAGAAAAACAAATTTTTGGACGAGGATGCCTTGAAAGGGATCAAAGAAATCTATGCTTCAGATGACGATAAGATTGAAACATCCGTTATTAAATCCGCAGAAGAGATTTTGGGTAACGAAGCAATTTATGCCTAAACATATTTTGCTGATTTTAAAGATGTAAAGATTGAACAAAATTTGTTCAAAGCGAATCCATTAATTACAGTTAACTCTCGATATAACGAAATTTGAGGGATCACAAAAAGGGTTTTTTGTATCAAGCGATTCATTAAACCGAGCTTCCACATAAAACACTTTTGATAAAACATTGTTTAAGATCTAAGAAAATTGTTTGAGTTGGTCTTAAATATACATTTAATCAAAACTTGAGAGATTAAATAAACTTGACTCACATTCATATTGTTTTTAACGGAATTGAATGAGTATATTAAGTGTAATTTTGAAACAAAAAGAATATATAATTTTATGGTGGAAACTCGAACGTGAAAATTGTGTTGGATACCACAGTTTTCGTCTTTATTTTGTATAATTTACCCAAAGACCCATTTGTCAAGTACCATTTCCTCTATGCACAAAAATATCTATCAATGGTCTATTCTATAAAAACGTCTTATTGTACATATAAAATGACAGGTAAAAATAAAAGAAAATTGTTCGTTAAATCGAGAGTCGACTGTAGTTAAAAAAGGATATTCATGATTTATATTAAATTCGTCCAAGTATTCTAAAAAGTAACCAACCTTTTCAACTAAAATTTTTATTTTAACGTAAATTTTATTCCATATCAAAAGCCTGATGTTATTTCGCATATTATTATTTAATTTTTGTAAACCTACACAAAACCACGGATAAACATTTAAAATTAAAGATTTTAAAATTTATTAATGTTCTGCATCTTGTTTATTTTGATCAACAAAAATTCAGAAAGAATAATTAAAAATTTCATATACCTATACAGTCGACATATTGATATTGTAAGAGTAAATGAACTCGAACATAACTATTCTCTCAGTTGAAAATTCATTTTAGGAAAAATTTTTTTTGATTAATAAAAAAATATAGTGTTGTCAAAGATTTTTGAAGACTTTCTTAGAATGTATTTCATAATTTATATTGTTATTCAGTTTCAGTATATTATTATTTGGTAATCCCCATAGAGAGAAGTCTTTAATTAAATCCTTTTACATATAATCTTATTCTGAAATTTCATCAATTAAATGCCCCTAATCTGAATTTTCGTTGATTTTGGTGTTATTTGACTAATCTCGAAGAACTTTTCCATTTTCGCAGATATTTGGTGACCTCCCATAGGATTATTTCCACAAGTTTAATAAGAAGTTGGGTTTCTTATCCAGAGATTAACCAGGATCCGTCAACCCTAACTGGAAGTACCAAAAAGCTTGACTGAAACCACAAAATGTATATATTTTTTATCAAACACAGAAAGCAACTCTAATAAAAAGTCAATTAATATTTAAGAAAAACAATTATATGTATATTATTAAAATATGAATTTAATAAATTTTAAATTTATTTAATAGACGAACAAATAGACTTTTAGTCGAAAGGGGAAATCTTGAAGATTTGATAAAATTTGAAGAATTTTAAAAATTTGAAGAATAAAAAATTTGAAGAAATTTTATTATTGAAAAACGATTAAAAATTTATATTAAATATAAATTCTCGCACTTAATTTAATTTTTTATTAAATTTTATTTAAAATATTTATTCCTATAGTCGATAAAAATTTTAATATTTTACATTTTATTTATTTTTTGAAAATACATTGTATTTATGTTTGAAGTTTATTGGAAAAAAAAGATAAATAAAAGAATCGTTTATTTATTTACATCTGCATAAATCTATAGCCTATCTTGAATATTGCCTCAAATAGGGGTGTCCTTAACTAGAGGATTTGGATAACCGAAACTGAAAGAATTTTTCTTTTAAAGTAAACCGAATCTAAAATCTTTGGGGTCAGTTTAAAACTGGCAATCCTTGTCTTTACTTCTACCCATAGGGTAAATTAATCAAATAAATAAATTATTAAATAAAAGCATTTCTAACAAGTTCCGTTTTTATTTTTACCAAAAAGCTTTACAATATCCGCAGTTGTTTTCTGTCCTCTCCTAAGAGAATGCCTATTTCCCCATTTACTTGGATGATTGTATCGAAGATGTGGAGTTATTTGCGAACCTTTTTTTTAAATTAAAATAGGTAACAAAAAATTTAATTTTTATTCACCTTCTCTAGTTAACTTCAACTCCAAATTATGCAATAAAATATTCATAACACTCTGATCCTGTCTGTGGCATCTTCCATCTTGATACAATTGGTCTGTATCATAATTTTGGCAGGATATCGACGCACCGAGTGGCTCAATACACTCTGGAGTTAGGGCACAGAGAACAGACCTAAAATTAATTTATAAATATTTAATTTGGCCCAATCAACAAATCAAAAGTAACGACTGATTATAAATATTTTAATATACAAAAATCTTAAAAGAATGAAAGTTTACTCAGAATATTAACGAACCATTTAAGCAATTGCCTGGTAAAATCACTTTTCCTCACAATTATCATATTTGCCTCCATCATTTCAATATCATTTGTATCCTCTCCAATTTTGGAGCCAACAGTTAATGATGGGTCAAGTGGAATATAACTGAACATATCTAATAATTTAAGGATAATAAAGATAATTCTATTCAAATAAACAGAATTTTTTCAATATAATGAATAAACAAAGGGATTTAATATTATAAATATTTACAAGCTATAATAATTATCCTTAAAATAATACAATGTTTAAAGAAATTAAAGTTATGGGTTATGCCTTTTTTGCTTTATAATCAGCATCTATTTAAGCTTAATTTTATGAAATTTATTTTAATTCATGCCAGAGAAAAACATTGACAACAAATAAAAAGATTTTCTAGGAATTAAAAAAATTTATTCAACCTTAATTTGCATTTGAATCGGATCCTCAACCCATCTATTTTTTAATGATTTTTCAAATATTTTACCAGGATGTGTTGCAAATTTCAAGCCATGATGTGTACCCAAAGTAAATTGAAAATCCCCTAATATTTTCCTATTAATGTCTCTAATGAATATTATGTAGTCATTTGTGTGAAATTGTATTGAGGTATCACAATAAATAAAAGAATTAAATTCTCTAAACATTTCCTAGAAATTAAAAAGAAAATTTTTTTATAATTAAAATTTAATTTTACAGCTAAAATTAGCACTTTCCAAGCAAAAGTTTTCAATTTATGAAGTCGTTGAGGTAATTGAGTAAAATTGAATTGCCTGAGTTGTAAATTGCAAAGGGAATTGAGTTCATTTTTCTTTTAAAATTAAAAAAAATTGTGTAAATTAGTATTTAAATTAATATGTCATTCAAGGATGTTACTTAAAAAACAAAAAGCTGAAAGCAGCATCCCTTATATTAATAGTCTTATTCTAATATTATTTCTTCTCCTTTACTAGGGGAAAGATTTTTAATCAAGATTTGCCACCTTTCTCGTACCAAAATTCGTACTCGTACTTATGTACGAGCAAAAAAAATAGGCTGGTACGAAGTACGAGTACAAGCAAATCTGAAATTTCCAAGTACTGTTTTCTAGATAGTCGAATACGAGGTTGAAGGAATTTATTTCTACCAATTCTGTCTTTATAATTAGGGAAGTAGAAACGGATTTTAAGATTTATCTTAATCATTTTGGTTAGGTATTTGTTATTTCTAAAAGTCCAAAATTTGAAATTAATTGTAAACAAGACTTACAATAAATTTGTCATCAGAAAGACCACCTAAATCATAAACGATAATTTGAATATTTTGGAAAAAAAATCTTCTAATTCCATCAATTATAGCTCGCAATGAGGGATAAAATTTGAGATTAGCAGCGAGAACAAATGGAGTACCAGTCATATTGTGGGGATATGAAATTCTCTGTTTTAATTTTGAATTAAACATTTAGAGGAATATTACAAATACCATCTTATCTCCTTTATTAATTCCATCATCAATTCCAGAATCCCATCGATCCGTAAGATTAAATCGTTTAAGATGTGAAAGAAAAGAACAATCAAATTTTTTGCCGCTTAAAAAATATCTAGGTGTATCAGAATCGCCTCCATATGAAACATTGTAGGCCATCTAAAAATGTACTAAATTTAAATTTTAATAGTTTAGCAAGTAATCTTGTTTTATTTATTTAATTAAAGCTGATTTTATTCAAGCTTGATCAGGATAAAAAAGTGTGGGGAGAGACGAGCAAAATTAGTAATAGTAAAAATTTCTTTCCTGCTTTAGTTTCTCTAAAGTCGGTAACAATTATAAAGCTAATTAAAATACAGGAATCCATCATCCATTTTAAGGTTTAAAAGTTTTAATAATATTATTTAGTGTTGGTCAAACGCGATTTTGCGGTATCGGTATTTTCGGTAAAATACCGATACCGCAAAATACCGATTTTTTTAAATTGTGCGGTACCGTATTCGGTATCGGTATTTCGGTAAAAATACCGCGGTATTACCTAAAAATACCGAGGTAATACGGTACCGCGACCAACTCTAATATTATTTATTTAAATAAAATAATTAATTTGAAAATTACATTCTCTCCATCGCAAAAGTTATTGAAAGTATTATGTTCTTGATTATTCTGTTCGGTGTCGATTCTTTCCTTTAATGCTGATTCAGTTAATATCTCATCCGAATTATTGTCCCCCTCATTCTCTTCTCTCCTATCTACTTCATTATTAATTTTTCCCTTATCATTCCTCATCTCTTCTTTTTGCATTTGCATAATCATCCCTATACCTCCAATCATTACTCGCTTCTTAACTTCATCACTTATCTTTTCAACCTTCACTTCTTCTTTAACCTCGTCGTTTTTCTTCTCTTCTTCACCTTTCATCTCTTTTTTCAAATCTTCCTCTTTATTTATATTCTTTTTCTCTTCATCATTATTCATTTTTTTCTTTTTATCCTCCTCCTCATTTTCGAAATTCTTCCCGTCCAGATCACTCTTCTCTCCTTCCAATTCCATAATCGTTTCTTCATTCATCTTCTCTATTAATCCTTTTTCTTTTAATTCTTCTTCAGTCATTTTATTCACTTCTTTTTCTTCTTTTTCCACTTTTTCTCCTTCCATTTTTACCTCTTCAACTACTTCAATCCTTTCAAAATTGTGTAAACGTGTTATTTCGGTATAATTAATTCCTTCATTTTCTTCATAAATTAGTGGAAAATAAAAAGGACGAAAATCTCCATGTTGAATTTTAATTATTATTAATAAAGCAGTTAGCATTATAATGAAGAGAATGTAACTAAAAGAATTAATTGAAAGTTTTGTAATATCAGGGGTAATTCGGAGATAAAGGCATTTAAAAATTCATGGAATTATCCAAATCAAAAATTGTTATATTTGAGAATGATTTTCTCAATTTTTTTTTGGAAATATTGGGGTTAATAAATTTAAAAATTTTGACCTCTATTTTGTAAGAGAAAAACAGGAATATTGACCTCTAAAATTATAAGCTCGGAGAATTGGATTTAGGGTTTATCCAATTTTGGGATTTATGCAAAATTAATTTAAATAAATAAATAAAATGTCTAAAAAACATACAATTTTATTGGATTTATTCTGTTGCGCATATTTCAATAAATAATAATTCTTATAATAATTAATAAATTTAAAAATTATTTTCAATTAAATTCAATTAATTATAAAAATAATTTAAATATCAAAAAAAATTACTTAATTTCAAGTAGATAAATAAAAAGAAAAATATTATTAAATAATTTTTTGTTTGCATTTAATTGACGCAATTAATTTTAAAATATACCAAAAATAATTTTTTTTTAAATTTCTAAAAAAGGATTGAATCTTTTAGATATTAAAGAATAATTTAAATATTTTTTTATAATTCACAGAAATTTTAGTTGAATAAACGAACAAAGAAAGGAAAGGGAATTGGCACCATCAATAAGTTTAACCCGGCATTACTAATCAAATTGTTGATTTTGTCAACTTATATAATCGGATATTATCAAAAATAAAAGAGAAAATATTCGCGAAAGCTTTATATTATAGAGAATAAACATATTTTTGTGAAAAAATAAACATTTACTTTGAATTTTTACAAATTTTGTAATGATTTTCGACAAATTTCACAATTTATCCCCAAATACAAAATTGCGGTTAGCCCAGTTTGAGACTCAAAATTATTAATATAAAGGATTTTCTTATAAAATTTATTTTTCTTTTGATAGAATACAATTTATTGTTTGTAATATTTGTATAGCTTAATAAAAAATTAACAATCCATTTTTATTAATAAACTCTATTAAAAAGTATCGGTCGTTTTATATAATTGAAATAATAAAAAAATAAAATTAAAGGCTTAATTTATATTTAAGATTTGGCCGAGAAGCCGAAAATCTTCGTTTTTGGCGCCAAAAACTCAAATTATTCCAAAAACTCGAAAACCGAAAATATCGCAAAATTCGGAAAATCAGAAATCGTAAATTGAAATTTCGAAACAACTCTGCTTTAAAACAGCGCAGTATTTTAAGCTTAATATTTGTTTATTTTAATTTTCCTTCTCTCTCTCTCTATAGTTTTCTAAATTGGGAATATTTTATTAAAACAAATTTTTTAAACTACAAATAATAAACTATAACGATTTTAAAATTTCGAACCAAATAATACAAATTGAGTGTTTAATGTGTTAGAATTATAGACCCCTTCTTACTACCACTCTACCGTGCACAATATTTGGGGATCAGACTTTTGGGGGCGAATATCATTTATAAAATTTCAAAAATAAAAGCAACACAAACAAAAAATTTCAAAATTGATTTGTATTATACTTATATTAAAACAAAAATAACCAAAATCAAAATTATTATTTAGTCTAGAATGAAAATTTTATTAGTGTAAATATTTTAAATATTTATTCAATAATATATTTATTAAATTTAAAATAATTCAAATCCTTTTAAAATTGAAAAAACAAACAAATAATAGGTAAATATATATTCGTTATTTATTGCTGTTTTTATTAGAGCTCGAACTTTTCACTTTACCGGACCCGGCCCGGGTTCGAGCTCTAGTTTTTATTGCTTGAGATATGTTAATAAAAAACATAATTAGTTTGCTCGGATTTCTTTTGAAATATATTTCTTTCCTGAATATAATATGGCGAGAGAAGCCCAAATATGCCTTTAGTTTTTTGATATTATGATTTTGAACGAAGTTACATTTCAATATATTTCAATATTTTGGCAATTTTCCCGTTATTTCAATAGGTAGTATTTTGCATTTATTTACCAAAATTTTGGGATTTTTCATAAATTTCAGGAAAAAAGTGAAGAATTAATACAGTTATACCTCTAAAATTTTCAAAATTTTCGTTTTAATTTGAACATTACGAATCATGAATCAGAAGTTGGATTTGAATTCATGTTCCTGTTTTAAGTTTAGCGTCTCCAAAAACAGATAAAAATCGGAAAACTCTAAATATTGGCCCATTATGACGTTTTGGTCACGTGCAAATTGTATATGACCGTGAATTCAATCACGCTTTGAGCGTAGAAAATTGTAGAAAAGTAAAATAAAAGCTCTCACCTGTAAATACATAAAAGAATAGAGTCAGTCCAGTCACTTGCCATTGACAGAAATTGGTTAGAAAATTAGCTAAAAAATTATTAACGAGGAGAGAGATTCCTGCACTTCCCCCCTCACAGGATTCGTATCTTCATTTTCTTTTTCTGTATATTCTTTACTGCGATGTAGACCGTTTTGATTTAGTGTTGTCGGTCAATAATTTATAAGGAGTAAGGGGCGTTATTAGTGGATGTCTTCTTACGCGTTCAGTTTCGGAAATCGGAAAGGAAAAACGTCGAAATCTGAAATCGGATATCGGAATTCCGACCCACCTCTGATTCCGATTAATTTTTACTAGCAAATAAACTTTATTTAAAAATAAAAATTATTTTTTATTTAATATAATTTTTTAAATAAGTAAATCGATTAAAATTTAAAAATTTTTATTTGCCCATGCCATCCCTCTCATAAAATCAATTTGAAATTTATTTTTTCTATCGAGAGGCATTGCTTACATGCAAGAGGCATTTAAATCTAATAGCCCTTAATTAAGCTAAAATAAATTTTTCTTAAAGATTGTTTACCTATATTTGTGTGAATATTTTTAAAATTATAGAAAAACAATTTTAAAAAGTTAAGCGCTTTTGTCAAATCCTTAATTGTTTGGATATACTTTCTTGCATAAACTTTTATGATTCCTATGGGGTTGCTGTAGTCGAAAATTTATTGAAGTTTCTTATCTCTTGTAGGGATCGGAATCAAAAAATATTTTGCGATTTTATATTTAGAAATTTATATTGCTTTTTAATTAATTAACTTAGAAATATTAAACAAATGAAAATATTATTATTTTCACAAAAAATATTATTTCTTCTGTTATTTTTAAATCTTCATGGTAAATTATTCTAAAAATTTTCAAAAAACTTATCACCAAGCTGTGAATAACGGGTATTTTCTCTCTTATTATTTTTGCAAACCACTTTCTTATAAACATGTATTTAATTTCTTATGAAGCATAACAAAATTTTATTTTCCCATTGTTTAAATCAGTTGAGCCAGCTCGCGTTCGTGGATCACGTGGAGGGCATCCTGGTAGAGCTTCAAACTCTGAAGCATCTACATCGCATGGGAATGTCGCAACATGTCCTTGCAGTCAATATCGGAGAGAGGAATTCAATAATTATCTAACTGTAATAAATGATGATGGGCAGAATATTCATTTGAATGTTAGAGGAGGTGAAGACAAGGAAATTTTTTCTGGAGAAAAATGCAAAGTAATACCAAAAATCATTATTATATTTACTATAATTGAGCTTAACTAAACTCCCAATGTTTATGCTGCTCTCCTTTAGGTCTGATGAACCATGATTTTTAAAAATATTTTTTATTGTTTGAAAGTTTTGCACTTAAAATCGTTTTACAATGTTAAATCATCGGACTTATTCGTTAATCCCTCGCAAATTCCTTTTTTATTTTACTTCTCCCTGATAAGTTAAAATGGTCAATCTTGTCAATCATTTTTTGTCAAGAAATAAAAGTACCAATCTATTCACACATAAGATTCTATGAGAATAGTGTTCAGTTGGTATCAGGGTTGCGTCGTAATTACGAATTACGATTACGAATTACGAATTACGGTGTTTTTTCAGTTACGAATTACGAATTACGATTACGAAAAAATTTTTTAAATTACGAATTACGAATTACGATTACGAAAATATAGGGAAAAATTACGAATTACGAAAATAACGTTGCCATTAAATTTTAGAATGAAAAGGGGAAGAAATATTTGAAATATTTATATTTTCTCTCACAAGTACTTTTGTTTATCGGTGGTTGAGTGGGTTAAAAGTCAAGCTTCACTTATTTGATATTTTGTTAGGTTTGGTTCGAATCCATGTGTGGGGAAAAACATTTAGACCATTCATTTTTTTAAAAATAAATGTTTTTAAACTTCGATTTTGATTTTAGGTTTGTAAATTTATATTTTTTAATATCTTAAAATTGAAAAAACTTTAAAATTTTTAATTTAGTCATGAATTTTCTAAAAATTTTCGCATGCGGCTCAGAAAATATAAGAGTTTTGGCTCAGGATTAAGTGAGAGGGATTTCACATGATATCAAACGTTAATCTGGACAATGATTATTAGGATTAAGAGTGATTAAGAGACTTGGAGAGGATTTATTATTAGGATTAAGAGACTTGGAGGGATTATGGTAACAGCAGCAATTATTAATAGATATTTGATTTTTTAAATTAATTTAAATATTTTTAAAAAATTACGAATTACGATTACGAATTACGAATTACGGCATTTTTTCAGTTACGAATTACGAATTACGATTACGAAAAATTTTTTTCAATTACGAATTACGAATTACGATTACGAAAATTTTTTTAAAATTACGAATTACGAATTACGATTCCGAAATTTTTTTGAAAATTACGAATTACGAATTACGATTACGAAAAAAATTTTTCAATTACGACGCAACTCTGGTTGGTATCTACATTAGCTTCAGCAATTAGAATCTCTCATTATATTGCCTGAAGAATGAAAATGAAACAAGACAATACCCTGTTAGACCACATTCACAAATATCGTAAATGGAAGTTTATTTGAATGAAGTACATAATTTTTAATATTTTATTTCGTTTAAGGTTTATCATGCAATCTGGATCGAAAAAGTAATATTAA